TTGCAGACAGGGCCCATGACTAATTTTTCCTTGTATCCCTTGATATCAGTTAATAGACCCTCAGTAAATGATTGATGAATGAACTAGGACATAATTCTCCCAGTATGTTAGAAGTCTGTGTCTATGTTGGGTTCATATTCTCAAAGATAAATAAAATGTTCAAACAAGTTTGGATGAGAATAATGAAGCATTATGGCTAAAGAGAAAGAGAAACAGAATCTATATTTGGTTGGGCATGGCAGGGAAGGTTATAGGAAGTTAGCTTAGAGAAGTGAACTTTGGAAAGTTTTATCAAGAGGTCTTCACATATATTAAAGAGATAAAATTAAAAGAAGGCCTAAAGTTCTTTCATTGGAGCAAACCAAAAAATGACCATATCTTTGGAGGACATTGAATAAGGCCTGCAGAAGGACTTTCAGAGTGTAGGTCCCAGGGTGTTGTGATGAAGAATGGAATAAATGCCATATGCCTCCTTCTGTCCTCACAAGTACAAAAGAATTTGACAATAAGAAGGCCTCTGGCCCATTGTTTTTGCAAAATAACTCATGAAACAATTACAAGCTTTTAAGTTTTAGGAATTTTTGTTCTTTGCTAAGATGCTGAAACCTGTTTTAAAGAAGAAGAGGGATTTAGTCCAGGAAGGAATGGGAGAGACTCAAGCCTGGGATTTGGAAGGCAAAATGGGACCAACCCAGAGAGAGAGACAGCCTTTGAAGTCCTGCCAATCAAGGACCAGGGCTTAAGGACCAGACTCTTAAATCACGTGGCATTTACTGCCCCAGATAAAAAATACTTTTGTGGATCTGTGTCTGTGGTTCAAAATGGCTAGGTTCCAAAATCAGTCTTAATTTTCTATGGGTAACATTTGGAAGGCTCCCCGCAAGAAGAGAGTGGAGCCAGTTTCTAGAAGGGGCAGTTTAATGATTTTCTATTCCCCCACCCCTGAATCATTAAACAGTGTTCCTTTCCCAGAACCCAAGTTCACGCTGAGGGCAAAGGGAATTAAATGAAGAAGCTGAACCTGCAGCTAAGATTAGAGTTGCCAAGGACCTAATTTTAGGTCCCCGCTGCCCCAGCTGAAGTCTCGCGTCCTGCGCGCCTGGCTCGGCCCTCAGGACCACAAGTGTGGCCGTCAGCCGGCGGCGGACTGGGAGAGCGACTCCCGAGCCATCTGCAAAAGCAATTAGCTTGCTGTTGGGTGTGTTTTGAGAGAAACTACCAATAATTTTTCCTTCGACAAATGTTTCTTCAGGTGCTCGAGAGTCAATAAGGGAAAATGTCAGCGCTTGGCAGAAATTTCCACATGCTTGCCATCCTAATATTCACGCTTCTCCACGGAAGAGTGCGTTCCAAAAGGGAATAAATCCTAGAATTTCTGGTTTCCTGTGTCCAGTAACCCCGGCTTTCCTCTGGCCATCAGCTCATGACCACAACCTGGAGGAAGTGTTGTGCAGGACTTCTGGGCACCATGAGTGCAGGCATGCAGACACGAACAGTTCTTGCATTTTGCTGGCTCAGGGAGGGGTGAGGAGTGGGGGTGGGAGGGGGATTTCTTTGCCACATTGCACCGTGTTTAGGCTAGCCTTCCACTCGTCACGCATTTCCCAGTCACAGTTTTCATGCTTAAATTGTCTTCTTCAGAGGACAGACAATAAGAACTGACATCTTCCAGATCAAAGGGGAAACAGAATATATTTTAAAGTGACAACTTTGTTATCCAGCAACCACAATAATAAAATGATATAAATATAAGTCCCTACACGATTCCATACTGAAATGCCACCAGAGAGCCTAATTTCTTGCACAATTATGGCAGAGAAACTCTCTTTATAAAGCACTCACAAGAACGTGTCTTATTTTTGCCCAGTTTTTTTTTTTTTAAGATTTATTCATATAGAACTGCGGTACAAGCCAGAGGTGCAGGAAAAAGTGAGAGGATTCACCAGAGACAGAGCAGAGAACAGAACAGGCAGATGGATAAAATACACTGTTGAGGGGAGCAGCGGGTGGGTCAGGAGGGGTCTGCCACGCCATGTGGGCCACCTCTGGGGCAGGGGATCAAATTCAGACTGAAGCAGCTGTGGCTGTCTTACAGTGCTGCGTTCTAACCCATTGCGCCACCAGGTAGGGCCCATTTTTGCCCAGTTCTTATGCCTGGGGCAGCCCCCCGCGGGATGGAGACACTGTCTTGCAGGTTGAAACTGTGATAACTGGAGTTCCTTGTCTGCAAAAGAAGCTCTTCATAAAGGCTCATTGCCAGGGGCAGTGAAGAGTAGGCTAGCACTGCCCAGTCCACAGAGCGGACCTTAGTAGGTGCGCCCTTGGTGAGGGCCATGCCAGCCAAGTGTACAGATGGCCAGACTGTCTGCTGCTCTTTCTTCCTCTGTGCTTCTGTCCAATTTCCTGGTAGTTTTGCCTTCCCTGTCTCCTTGTCCCACACACTGTCTGTCGGTCTGTCTTTAAACCTATTTCTGCACCCCTCCCACGTGCACATGAGCTCACACTCACGCGCGCGCGCGCACACACACACACTCCTGTCCCCCCTTTCCTCTGTCTCTTGGCGCTGGCCCTTTCATCTTCTCCCTCGGGGATTCGAGATGTCGCTGCAGGAAGTGCTTGTCGGCCGAGGCAGCAGCAGCAAAGCCCTGTGGCTTTGACAAACCTCATTTAATTGGGAGGAAGCCAGGAGAATTTGAAAGAACTGAAACATCCACGAAACTCCTTTTATCAGGCATAATTTAAACTCTGCATGGAAAAACCCCTATATGTATAAAGAAAAGTCAACTTCCCTCCTGCTGGGAGCTCTCCTCGTCTCCCCCACAGCACAGGCAGGCTCCTGCAAGATTCCATCTTTTCATTTTTCTACAAGTGTCAAAGTAGATTTGGGCTCTGTAGCTGGGTGAACAGAGAAGGAATACAGATTGGTCTTTCTCTCACACCCAAACGTGTACATAGAGAGAAAGACAGAGAGACAGAGAGACAGCCACACACACACACACACACACACACACACACACACACACACACACAC